AGGGGAGTCCTCCGCCTGGGCCTGTGTGGCCGGCCCTTCCTCCGCCCGGCCGCCCGGCCAGGTAAACGCGCTTCCACGAGCGGCCAGATCGCGTCCCCATGACAACTTTGCGGGCCTGTCCCTTGCTGGCTGTGGTGCTGCAGTTCACTTTCTACAGGAAACAGGCTGCCGCTAAATAAGACAGATACTTTTATAGGGAAAGAGGCAAAAGTCAGAATTACCCCCATATCGTTACAAGGTCAGGATTATAAGCATCAGTCAAGATTTCTTTCAGTACACGGCCACATTTTATGAGGGGATCAGAGGCGAACTTTATCCAACTGTACAAGTGAGGTCAATTTAGGATAACTTTTTAGGAAAAAAATTTTTTTAATTTTTTGGTTAGCACCTCCTTTGCCGATCTATCCATGTGAATGCGGGGCGTCTCTTTGAACCCTCTAGTGTGCTAGGATCTGTGCTAGACACTGGATATTTGGATGAGTAAAATAAAAACCCTGCAGGGACAAGGTCCTCATTCTCTTGTGAAAAATCATACCACTCTTCTGTGGAATGCGTTTTATGAGGAAAGGAAAAATGTGGGACCTCGGAAGGAGCACTCTCTTAGGGATTGGGGATGACAGTAGCAAGGGAGAGGTGGTAATAAATCTGGATGCTTTTTTCATGCTGACAAAACTGTAACACTTGTAAATAAATATGGCTTTTGTCCAGCTCATAATGCATATTGCTCTAGAAATATCACGAAGTGGAAACTGACAGTGGCTAAAACAGCACCCAAGATTTGTTACTGACCAAAGAGTGGTACAAAATCTTTGATGAAATTTAGATCTGCAACATTTGACAAAGGAGAATTAAATATGATAGAAACAATAGCAACCAAGGGCAATTCAGAAGGCAGAAGCTATAATTAATAAAAATATGACATGGAAAACAGTTTAAATAAATGCTAATTTTGCCTCAATATTCAGTAAAAACAATATAAATGGAAGAAAATAGCAATTTAAATGAGTAATGAAACTAATCAAGGAATAACACTTGGTTAATGGAGTTTTCATTCTCTACCCCAATTAGTCAATATCAGCATATTTGTCTAAAATCTTTTATGAGAACATCTCTAGAATCCACAAGAGCATCAGAAGGCCCCAGAGCAACCTAGGGCTTCAGAAGGAGGTAAATTTGAAAAGTTACTTGCAAAAGTCATAATCTGACATAACCGAAGCATAGAAGAAAAAGCACACATACATTTTAGTATGAAAGGGACCTGGGTTTGAATCAGTGGTTTCCTCTTACTAGATTTCAGGTTTCCTTAAACAGGCTGTTTGGCCTTTCCAAGTCCCTACTCCTCTGTAAAACAAGGAAATAAAACCACCTCCTAGTCCAGTGATGGCGAACCTTTTGAGCTCGGTGTGTTAGCATTTTGAAAAACCCTAACTTAACTCTGGTGCCCTGTCACATATAGAAATTTTTTGATATTTGCAACCATAGTAAAACAAAGACATATTTTTGATATTTATTTTATATATTTAAATGCCATTTAACAAAAATCAACCAAAATAATGAGTTTTCGTGTCACCTCTGATACGCGTGTCATAGGTTCGACATCATTGTCCTAGTCATATTATCTCATTAATCCTCAAAGCTTCTAGCATAGGACCTGTCGGAGAACATGGTAGATGATAAATTATGTCACTTAAACTACAAGGTTTTTCCACTTTAACCTCTTGGTATGGTGATGTAAAAAGCCATATACTTCTGTGCCTCCCTAAAATGTTTTTACTTACCAAATTATTCCCTTTCCTTGATGCCTCAGAATCATCATAATGACCAGCTATGACATTATGCTGTCGCAACACTGGAGCTATGAGGCAAAGAGCCGCATGGCGCTGGTGCTTGAACATAATCGAGGCCTGTGGTCTCCTCTCTTACAGTGCCTTTTCATTACTGGGACTCAGAAGCCATAATCAAGTTTGGGAGGATTATATATAAATGTATGAATAAGCTCAAAAGAGGGCCTCTCCTCTTACGTTTTACGGTATTGACTTAGTGTCTTCGCTTCTTACTGATCATTTATTTTCATTTTCATGGTATAGTTAAGATTATTTTTGCTGGCTTTGTATCCTATAAGTGCAGTTACTTTTTCCTAAAAATCTCTCTTTGGTATAAAAACAATGTCATTACCATTTAACCCCGTGGCAATATATTATGCAACTTTTAAAAATGTATCCCTAGATTGAGGGGGCATGGGGAGGTAAGAGATCAACCAAAGGACTTGTATGCATGCATATAAGCATAACCAATGGACATGGACACTGGGGTGGTGGGGGCATGTCCTGGGGGGTGGGATTGGCGGGGGAGGGGTCGATGGGGGAAAAAGGAGGCAAATGTAATACTTTAAACAATAAAAAAAAAATGTATCCCTAGACATATTAAAATGTTTTCAGATGAAACAGTATGTCTTACATTTGCTTCAAAATAATCTAAGGGCAAAGGGATTGGAAAGGGTTAGTGAATGGGATGAAAATGAAACAAGATTTACCTTGTCCTGTTGATAATTGCCTAAGTTGGGTGGGTGATGGATGGGTACCGGAGGTGAGGAGTGAGGGATGAAGGGATGGGAGGAGGAATAATTACACTATTCTACTTTTTGTTTTGGAAATTCCAAACCTATACACAAGTTTAAAAACACACACATACACACAAAAACCTATGTCAAGAGGAACTGGGTGCTGGTTTGGGTTCTAATTTGCTATGTGACTCAGGTATTTACTTAAATTTCATTAAGCCCTGAATTTTCTCATCTGTCACATGAGGGCTTGAGGATTGTCAACATTGAGTTATTTCTAAGAAATTGGACAACTGGTATTATGCATGTTTTTAATCATCTGCTTTTAAATAAAGACCTAATTGATGGTATTCTCTTAAATTTCACCTTTCCCCTTAAATTCCTCTTAAATTTCAATTTGTATTTCATGAGTATGGCTCATACTTAGAATCTTCTACATTTCAGCAACCTGCTCTAATATTTCTTCTAGCACTCTTATTTCTTAATAAGAAATATTTTTATTATTTAAATTATTTAAATATTATTTCACTTTACTTTAACACTAAGCAAATTCATTATACCTACTTATATATTAAGACAAAGCAGATTGCTTTCTGGAAACTCAATAATTAAAAATGCTGCTTATAATATTGTATTTATGACCATATGGATAGCATGATTTACCACATATTTTATATATCTACCTACTATTCCATTTTTAAATGAATGCAGTGAAAGTGTTCAGTAACTTGAATTTTGAAGGAAAAAACTTTTAGCTAGGATATTTTTTTACCAAGTTATGATTTAATATTTATCAATGTGTAAATATACAAACATGACAGCAATTTTAAAAACTTGTGAATAGTTGGCCTTACAAAATTACAACACACTGTAAATAAATCCCTCCCACATTTTACACAAATTACATGATTTTGATATACAAAGATTCTGTTTTTATTACACGGACAATGTACAACCAAGACTATTTACAATGCAAAAAAGTATATAAACCACAATTTAACATTCTGCTACTGGCAGCCACTATAGTTTAGGAGGTAGCTTTAATTAAACGAAATGAACAGAAGCCACATTTCCCAACTTGTGTTCTAAAAATAATTTACATAAGATAAAAATTCATTATATGCACAGTATATACAGTTTAATTATTAAACTGCAATCTAGCTTAATGTTTTCAGTATATCCTGTAAAACTAATATGGCAGTGGGTTTGCTATTGATTTAGCATATTGTTCAAAAAACATATTGAACATTTATAACTTTATGACCCCACATCGTGACATATCAAAAGTCTATAGATGAGAATCAAGTAAAATTTTTCATTTTTAAAGACATGGGTCTAAGCTTTATTCATTTTTATCCCTTCTTCTTCTTTTTTAATGACATGTGTCCTGTTTTACAAAAACGCAGTATCTAAGCTGTGAACTGTTGTTTCACAGGCTTTTTGTAAATTACTGTAGGGGGAAATGTATGGAAACAGCATAAGTTCAGGAGAATCCAGCTAAGAAATAAATGTAAGTGCTTTGTATCATAATTACTCCCAATTTCTTCCAATTAAATGCAATTACTTACCACAGTTTTCTTTCTGTATAATTCAAAATATAAGTAGGTAACATACCAACAAAACTGGAAAACATCAGTAAAGCCAATGATATTAGGAAGTGTTCATTAATGGGAACATTACACAGAGCCATCAAATCCCTCAGATACTATTAAACTCCGAAGTTAGTTAGTAGTTTAGCCAAATCTACTAAACCCACACAGCAATTAGCCCTTTTACTTTTCCTAGTAGTGTGATGACAAAACACTCAGGGAAAAAAATGACTGATCGCGCCAAAGCAATGTAAAATGACTAAAAACAAATGTTCATGCTGTTCTTTTAAAATCTAATAGTTGTTAATATTGTTTTGAAAACATCTTCAGGTTTTAAGGTTTACAAATCACTCCAAGAAAATGGACGATTCTATTATGTCAAAGATGGAAACAGAAAATGCCACAACCTAAGGCCTACATTCACTCTCACAGTCCTACCTGGGAGACGATCGCCTTTTTGGCCCTGAAGTCCGTTGTCCTGAGATTAATGATCAGACATTAGGTAAAATTAGCAAGACTTTCTTCAGTTGTGTGAAACCACATTTTTAAAATATTCTTTAAAATATATTAACAGCTGTTCTTTATCTTGTGCTTCATTCAGAAACAGGTTAACATTTTTGCTGCTTATGCAAATTTCAGATAAACCTAACGTTAGAATGCTAGGATATACATAAAACCTTTCCAAGTTACAGAGTTGTTCCAAATAGACCACACCGCGCTCGGACACTGGATTTTTCACCCAAGGATCGTTCAGGCACTTGTTCTCTGAAAATGTCTGCCACCTTCTCCTTCTTCTCTAAGTGACACCAGGCAGTGGTCACAGAAGTGCTTCCCGGATGAAAGACCAGACGAGGGTCCACTCTATGAACACTGGGATTGTGGCTGATGCGGGACGCAGTCACAGACACCCTGATTCAGTCTCTCACTCTGGGCAGATTGTAAGCATAGCGCACCAAGGGGAATCCTCGACTCTGATAGAAGCAGGCTCGTCCGCAGGCCTGCACCTGGTCAGAGCTGTCGGAGACAAAGGAATCTTCCTCATCCGCGTAATCGGAATGGGCCGACTGCGTGCCACAGTCCGACCAGTAGCCGTCTGGCCTTTGGCACGAGCCCACTGCCAGGGCAGGGCAGCTGTGCGACTTGATCAAGTGTTTGCACGACACCGGCTTTGTCAAGAGGAAGGACTCGCAGCAGTCGCACACAGCCAGGTTGCCCTGCAAATGCGAGTACACGCCGCAGTCGTAGTAGAAATCCTGCTCCACGCAACCCGCCTGGCTGCTGACGGACACGGACACGGACCCGCTCTTCTTGGCCAGGTGTCGCTTCAGCACCTTCCAGTCTTCTTTGAACTTGGGGTTGAAGAAAACATACAGGACCGGGTTCAGGCAAGCGGGCAGCGGGAAGAAGATCAGCGTGACCGACTTCATGATCTCGGGGCTGACCGAGACGGCGGTGATGAGCGGCGCGAAGGAGAAAAAGGCCACGGGGCAGAAGAAGATGCAGTTGGTGAAGATGAGCCACGCCACGTGCTTGATCGTGCCGGCCTGCGAGCCCTCGGAGAGGTCCTCCTTTTCCAAGTTGCAGTAGAGTTTCGTGTAGATGACGGCCATCAGCAAGAACGCCAGGGAGTTTAGCAGCACCAAGGTCACTGTAAACCCTAACGCGGGCGCCTCTCCCGTGGGGAACGGCAAGCAGAGCGGGGAGGCCGAGTACTCGCCGCCGTGGAAGAGGGGGAAGCAGCCTGCCACGGCGGCCCCCGCGAAAGCGAGAAGGGCAGCCACGCGGAACTGTTTGAGGTGATTGCTCTTCCCGTTCTTCATGATCTCTTTTGCAGACAGGCTTCTTTCGACAGCGGCTAACGTTAAGAGGAAGATGGCGCTTTCCGAGGAGAAAACGGCAAGAAACCCAGCTATCTTGCAGCCGCTGCCGATCTCCCACCAAATGCCAAATTCGGCGAATCTGCCCCAGGACACAGCATCCAGAAACGTTAAGATGCCCGTATAGGCTCCCATGAGTAAGTTGGACACAGAAATCAGGCCTATGAACAATTTGGAGGAAGGTAGGGATGTACAGGGTGCGAATGTTGTTAAAATGACAAGCAGGTTGAAAAACAATGCAACCAAGAAAATGAACCACACGGTAAGACGGATCATCCAGCTTCCCAGTAAATATTCACAGGGCTTAAAAGCACCTAAAATGAAAAACAAAGAGGAGGGGGAGGGGAGAAGAAGACAATTTAGGGAACAGCATGTTCCGAATATGATACAGCTTAAGACACTAAAGATAGTTAATTCTATAATAATTAAATCTGCTACCAAACTGAATTGAACCAAATTGAAAAGATCACTATTTCAGATATTTTTTTAGTCACTGCACTGGACTATTTAAAAATAACTACTTTTATTCAATACTCTCAGTGACACGGGCTGCTACAGTCAGCAGAATTCAGGGGTCCCTAACTGAGGGTTCAGAAAGAGAAATAAGGGAAGTTTCCTTTCTTAGTTTCACTCCTTTATTTCCTGAGGTACTGAGCACAGGGTAAGGGTGGGGATAGATAAGTGACTTCTCTCTCCAGTTTCAGGCTTTAGGCTGAAATTAGTTTAAGATCCGATTTGGGGAAAAGTTAGGATACAGGGAAAAAGATTTGCCTGATCTGACCTCCAAGGATTTATTCAACTCATTTACTCACTAATAACTGATTGCAAAGGCCCTGGGGATAATAGTCCACTAATAAACAGTGCTTTTCATAAACAAAACTAAACCAAAAAACCCCCTACTTTTTATTAAATATTTGGCAAATTCATATAGTGATATCTAAAAGAAAAACCGCACTTTTTCTTAAACCTAAGTTAATATGCATAGCACAGTGTCTAGCATATGCAAGGTACCTGATATATTTAGAGTTTGGAATTGGATAAACTAGGGTTTGAATTTAGGGTCCATAACTTGCTACTCTTTTTCTTGAGGAAGCAACTTAAATCTGTAAATTTCATTTTCTCACTTGTGGATAATAATGTCCATTTCATAAAGCTGTGGAACTTAATATTACATACATAGGTACCTAAACAGGCTACTGGTATAGAGTTCGACTTCAGTAATAGTAGGTTCTTTTCTTCTTCCTTCCTAGTTCTAGTATACTTAATAATAATCATATATGTATACATATATTTTTATACACTTTTTATGGCTTTCAAAGGCAATCTGATGAGGTAGATTAACATGGGTGTAATTATCCCCATTTTTTCATCCAAAGAAACTGAGATTTCATAGTGTTCGATTGACCTGCACAAAGGTTATTCAGTTAAGATAGTGCAGGGAGGACTAAACCACGCTGGTGTTAAGTATTCACACAAAGCTACATCCAATAAAATCCTGTGTAACTTAAAGTAGGATTGCAAGAACTAATTTAGTAGCTAAATGGTATGTTCCAGTAACTGACTTTGACATGCTGGTTATGCCACAAATGACAACTGTTTTATTTAAAAATCAGTAAAGAAAAACAAAGTTTTGTCTACAAAGCATAAGAAAATGATGTACTGCAATTGCCTAAAAGACATGTTCTGACTTATCTTCCTGAACTGTCATGAAGTTTAAAACACGCTATAAAGCATTTTAATCACTAAGATATTCACAAACCTAACCAACCAGGTCTACATCATTTAATTCTGACTTCCAAACAGCACAAGAAACGTTTAAAACTTGTTTCTAATTAATTAATTTTTAAAATTTCCCCCTCAGGGAGGTGTTAACAGGAAGCTTTCACTTTTATATGTGTATCTGAAGCCATCCTTCAGGGAGGAATGGCTCTGACCTGGGAGAAAGGGCTCGCTTTGAGAAGTGTTTGACTAGTGGGTGGAGTTCAGTTCCTGGAAAAGTCCCGGGAAGCAGACCCCGTCCAGTCTCTGTTCAGGGAAACCTGTGGCCTCCTCCGGTTCTAACAGAAGGTTCCTGCTCTCCTCTAAGTTGGCTTCTGAGTGAGCACACAGGTATCCCTGTTACTACAACTGAGTCGGGGAGACCAGCCAGCAGTCCATCCCCACTGCAGCCAGGGGAGGTGAGCTCAGACCTCACGTACTCCTGGTTGACCCCAATGTTTAAATTCAGTGTGGATGGAGGAAGTGGAACCTCAGCATGATCAGGTCTCCTCTCCCCTTAACGAAGCTGGTCTCTTCTCATTGGGTTGTCAGTTCCTGATGTACATTCTCCAACACAAGAACCCCAGGGGGGCAAATGAGGGAGCTGCACTCTTTAACTTCCAACAATACAGAAATTAGACAAATTGCATAAACATAAATGATTCTTGCCAATCTCATTCACTCATCTGGCCACTTGAAGCTTATTCTCTACACAAGTATACTTATTATTTATACTTATTCTCCATGCTAAGTATTAAAGGACACATGTGCAGCACCCCCAAGAAACTCACAATTCAGCAGTAATTAGAATCATGTTATATGATTCTGACCCATGAAATTAATGTCCAGATCGACCTGTTGTCAATATGCTAAGAAAGGGAGCTACTTCATAGCATACAATTTAGCCAACTCGTTTTTTCTTTTATAGTAAAATTCTAAATCCATCTTCTCTGACAGGCAGAATATAACATCACAGTCACAATGGTCAGTTGACTAACTTTCCCAAGTCTACTAAGTTCAATGACATAAAAGACAAGAGGAAAGTTTGCATGCATTAAAAAAAAAAAAAAAACCCAAAAAACAACCCTAACTGGTTTGACTCAGTGCATAGAGCGTTGGACTGCGGATTGGAAGGTCTGGGTTCGATTCTGGTCAAGGGCACATGCTCGGGTTGCAGGCTCAATCCCCAGTAGGGGGCGAGCAGGAGGCAGCCGATCAATGATACTCTCTCTCATCATTGATGTTTCTACCCCTCCCGCTCCTTTCCTCTCTGAAATCAATAAAAATGTATTTAAAAAAACAAACAAAAAAAAAACACTAAAAATCTCTGAAATCAATAAAAATGTATTTAAAAAAACAAAAAAAACACTAAAAATCCCTTACAGATCAGTTAAATACTTTATGGAATTAGTTCTAGTGTTAAAGAAGCATCAAGAAAAAAAAAAGTAAAATAAAATAAAAATTAAATTTAAAAAAAAAGTGCCTCTCAATATTTAATGTTCATGACGCTCATCTTGGGAGCTCGTTGACACAGAGATTCAGATTCAGTGGGTCTGGACGGGAGGTTCTGCAAGGGATGCCTAAATTCCTGGTGCACAGACCCCACGCTGAGTCGCAGGCTGGATGAGGTCATCTACTCCCACCCCCATTCCCGAAATCACACTTATCCCCAGAAGTTTCAGGTACAGTTGCCTAATGTCCATTTAAAGCAAGACACTGCAGCACACTCAGTTGGGCATACCTGTTGAAGGCGTGCAGTGGATAATTATTTGACTGTGCTCTTCATTTTCAGCACTGCTAGTGACCCCTGCTGCATCAGCGGGACCTGAGGATAAAACATGGGTTGTGTTGAATTCAAGCTTTCTGCGATTCAAAAGAACCAGTTTCCTGTGATCCCGTCTCTCGTACATGAGGTAAGTTCAGCTTGTTACGAGGCTTGATAACATATGAAAGATGCCAGGAACACAGTAAATGCCATTTTTCTCAGATTTCCTACCGATCCTTCACAAACCGATTAGAATAACAGAGACTTTGATCAATGCCATCAAGAGTGTTCTAGTTTACCAAGTACGTGCACTTGCCTTTATCCTTGGCCACACTGTGTTCTTGGAGGCTCTTATCTTCCGTATTTGAATGGGTGTAAGAGTCGCAACCCCAAAATGCACAGCACTGATAAGCATAGGGTACCGATAATGACCTGGAAAATAATTGTAAAACCTACATTGAACAGCAACTTCACAGACATGCTTGTTTAGTAAGAAGTATTTTAGTCACTGAAGGCCCCAGCCCAGGAGTCAAAAAGACCTAGCTGTCAACTTGCTTTAAGACGCTCAGTAGCCTTTCCAGGCCTCAGTTTCCTCATCTGTGAAAAGAGCTCTGGGATCAGGTGACAGCATGAGCTCCTCCATTTACATAAGCTATGCTTTTAAATCAAACCATGTTTAAAATTTTACAGTAACATACTTTTATAAATGAATCAACCACACCCAATGTATCATATGAAACTGGTAGTTTCATTTAAAATTAATGTCTCAAGTCATCTGTGAATTTATACCATTAAATGAATGTACTTTGTTTATAAGTATAGTGAAAATATTTATTCTCCTCTCCCAAAATAATATCCCCAAGCCCTCTCTCTATTATAGCTAGTGAAGTCCCCACTCTAATACTGTGTCTCCATAAAGTATTATATAGCATTGTATCAATTTTCTATAGGCTCCCACTTATGTGGTTTCTGTCATCTTGTTGCTAATGTCAAATCCCCTATATAAAAAAACATTCTGATGAATAGCTCTGTTATCTCTTTGACAGCATCAGGGACTCCAATTCATATTCTTAAAAACTATGGAATGATGCTCAAGTTCTATTTTACACCAAATCTGTGAGGACTGGGGTAGAAAATACTCTTAAATTACAGCCTCCAAGAAAATCTGGGAACCACAGCAAAAATAACCCCCATTAAATTAAAAAAACAAAAAGCTAGCACACTCTATCATTTAGGGGCCTACCCCACCATCAACAAAAAAGAAAAATAAGCAAAAACACACCTGAGATTAACAAAGTCTTTTGCTGCCAAAGCTTCTTTCAGTTGGAAGTTGCCCACAAGTTTCAGTTGATTCAGCCCATTCAGGCCTTCCGTAGGAAATGACGTTAATTCATTGAAACTTACATCTCTAAAATGTGAACAAGACTTCAAATTAACTCCCAAGATGCAAATCGCCCAAGATGCAAATCACACAGAAACATCTGTACGTGTTAACAACATAGACATTAGAGTTCCAGGAGGAAGGTGAGGTGTGTTAAACAGCGGTTCTCAACCTGTGGGTCGCGACCCCTTTGGCGGTCGAACGACCCTTTCACAGGGGTCGCCTAAGACCATCCTGCATATCAGATATTTACATTACGATTCACAACAGTAGCAACATTACAGTTATGAAGTAGCAACGAAAATAATTTTATGGTTGGGTCACAACATGAGGAACTGTATTTAAAGGGCCAGAAGGTTGAGAACCACTGTGTTAAATGATGAATCTAAGCATGCATCTCGCCATATTAAAAGTTTGTACTATATCCATGCAGTTAGCCTTTATACAAGGAAACAACTAAACAGAAAAATATTCAGACAGATCAATGCACAAACACAAGTTTCTGTAGACTATTCGTGACTTTCCTGATATTATTGCATAAAGTCGTCGACTTACAGGTTAGTTATTGACCCAAGCTTGGCAAAAGCTCTGTCGTGAATTTCATGGATCAGGTTTCTACTCAGATCTCTGCAATTATAAGAATAATGTGTTAATATTTTCAAATAAACTCAAATTGCAGTCACTTTGACTACACTTTAGAATCTGAGGTAGTCACAATATCCCCAATAACAAAAACCTTTCATATTGTCCAACAACATTTTCATTTGGGTGCTGAATGCCTCTCCTTCACAAAAACCTATGTCTTGGAATGTGTTCCCATGGAGCAGTAATTCTACTTGGCATCTGTTTCAAAACAGTTGTGAATTTTCTCCCCCTTATCATTCTGGTGCCAGTTCAAAAATATAAATGATAATGATATAACCTTTGGTACCATTAACTAGGTGAGAAAAAGCTCAGCTCCTGACAAAGCTGGAAATAAAAGTAGGCTTCATATTATTTGCCTTCTCAAAGGTTAGTGATAAGGCTCCAAAGAGAAGACAAATAATCAATATGCAAACAAGAGCATTCCAGAAGGGCTTCAGATATCTTTTTTTTTTCCTCCTTCAAGCAGGAAATAAACATCTTATCAACAGCAGAACCATACAGATTGAGGAACACACCCTGAGGAATTCTGCTATTACAGAAATAATAAAACAGAGAGATAATCTCCAACCACACTTGAACTGAGCCTGATTGGAAATTCAGAGATTGGATACATGCATTCCATGACACGTCTCCTGGATAACAGGAAAACTCAACAAACTGGGTTTCAAATCATAAAAAGGCCAGCTTTTCATTGTTGTTGCTTATCAGGGCTCCAGAAGTGATGGCAGCGAGGAGCCAGTCCCCTTCCTCCTGGGGCCCTGACCCACAACAAGCCTGCCGGCGACAAGGACAGGTCCAGCGACCCCACCATCAATACCATGTTTTCTACTAGAATGCATTTCTCATTTCTAAGTGGGGGTCTGCTGGAAAGCAGGACGTGATATACGTAAGTTCACTTCACTGTCCATTTTTTGAATGTATTCTGCACTTTAAAAAATGTTCACTAATTCAGTGATGTGTGTGTCCTGCACTGCAGCTCCAGGAAGGCAATGGCCAGGGTTGTCTCAGTCACCTCTCTATTCCCAAGTACTTCATAGAGTCATTGGCGCACGTATATGCTCAAATACATATCAATTTTACAAATGTGTGCTTCTGCTGCATATTAGCCACCTTTGTCATGACAGATACACCAGTGCAGGGGTCAACAAACTTTTTCAGGGGCAGGCCAGAAAGCAAATATTTTTCACCTCTGGGGGTCCTATGGTCTGTCCTGCAAGTATTGAACTCTGCCACAGGATGGTGAAATGAGCTTCAGACAATACTTAAAACAAAAGGGGCCAGGCTGTGTGCCAACAAAACCTAATTTACAAACACCGGAGGCAGGCTGAATCTGGCCCACAATTACAGTTTGCCAACCCTGGCCTAATGAATGGGTAAACTCATTATTATGACTTGAAAACAAAGTGCATCTCTCAGGTTGTACACATTCTTCTTTTTAAATCAATGTACAATATCAGAGATGAGCTAAGGTAAAAGATGCTGAAAATACATTATTTATAGTAAAGTGTACCATGCAGTCAAGTTTGAAGAACAGTATTTACACATAATAAATCAGATCTTTAAGTATATCTATCAAAATGGGAATTGTGCTGATATATTTAATTTATAGCTTGACAGGAAATTTACTCATCTCTAATAATCATAGAGAAACTTACAGTATCCTTAGGGATATGAGGCCTTGAAAAGTGCCTTCTCTGATTTGGCGGATCTGATTACGTTGCAAAGAACTAGAAGAAGAAGGAAGGGAAGAAGGTGG